GTATGTATGTATGTATGTATGTATGTATGTATGTATGTATGTATGAGCTCAACAACAAACATTACAAGTGACGAGTCTTTACTTCACTAAAGCAGGAAAATTAAGTCATATGGGAAGTCATCGTACCAGAGCACCAAATGGCATTAAGTACTGAAAACTTTTGAAAAGGTTTACAAGTCAGCTGGTGGCCTGAAAATATATGCAGTCACAAAAATGAACCTAATGTCAACAAAATACTTGTTTCTCAAGTCTGCTGAGTTTGTGTCATAGATTTTAAAAGTTTGATCGATTTAAAGAGTCACATCTGTTCAAAGCACAACTAAAACTTAAAATGTGATGGTCATACTGCACAACGAAGTGAAAGCCATTATCATGCATGAACAATTTAGTTTGCCACAAGCATTGCAAGTGACTTATTGGCTTCAAGAGCCATTGTCGTTATCACGAGAACTAAAAACATTGATCAAACTTGTCAGTGAAGATCACACACGTGTAACGGAGTCGACAGCCAGCCTTGTGAGTAAAATTCGGTAGACGGAACACTAGTAAGAAGTTACAAGTCATCGTGACGGAGGGTTTGAGTGTGCTGGCCTTGTTCAGATTGTTAATCACACTAGATTACATGCTCTCTCCCAGAAACTGTAACTAAGGTCTGCTCAGCATAGTTGCAGTATAAACCACAGGTGGGCTCTGTGGGTGTTGAACAAACACAAGTGTGCCTGGGCGAGCGTCTGCAATAGGGATTGGCAATCCTCCCTAGTAGAAGGGTATCCTCGAATACGAGTGGCCCGCTATTATGTATGTATGTATGAGTGTACATATGTAAATATCTGGGAACGTGGCTTTCTGACTATGAGATGCCGGGTTCGAATTTCACCATGGTCGATTTGTCATCTTGATGTTATCAGTCTGGGTGGGGGAGATCCTAGCTTGCAACACATTTAGAAAGTGCCTGAAAAATCATACCACAGATTGACACAAGCCTTGTGAGCGAAATTGGATAGACAGAACTCGTCGATGGTGGTGCTAGCACAAAATCACAAGTCTTCGTGACCGAGGATTTGAGTGTGCTGGTCTTATTCTGACTGTTGGTCACACTAGATAACGCGTAACTAAGATCCTCTCAGCATAGTTGCAGTATAAACCACAAGTGCACTCTGTGGGCGTTGAACAAACACAAATATACCTGAGGAGGCGTCTGCAATAGGGATTGGCTAGTCACCCTAATAGACGGGCATCCATTTATTTTATGTAAATATCTGTTAAGTGGAATCTTCTGTGTCCAATTTAGCTGTTCAGTAGATATTTCCTTAAAAGACACGCTATAGAGTGATGGCGAGGAAAACACACATCAATAACTAATTTCAGGAAATGAGTTTTTTCTTACTGAAGGCCCGACTTTGCTAAGCTTAGTAAGTATTTATTTGGAACGCATACTATAGATTGATAGGTAGGTAAGTGCACATCGATAACCAATGCTAGTACATTGAGTTTGATAGTCACGTAGTTTTGTGTCAGACTTAGCTAAATTTATTAAATATCTAAATGGAACGAATGCATTAGAATAATTGTTAGTGAACATGTATCGCACTCCATTGCTCGTTTTGGAAATTCTATCCTTACTGGAAACCCTACTATAGGTCATGTTCGTGTGATAAAGCGAAACTAGGGAGACTTCTGTCGTGTTATTGTTATCATGCTAGTGTCGTAGATCATCCGCTAGGGTTCGATCCTCACTGAGTGCCTTATATTTGTGGTCTTGTGTTCAACTAAGATAAGTAGACTAAGTCTGACTTATGCAAAAGCTCAAATGAGAAGCAAAACTTTCCACAAACACACTTTATGATAGATAGATAGATAGATAGATAGATAGATAGATAGATAGATAGATAGATAGATAAGCTCCCAAGTATAAATTTATCTATCAATTTCCATGGTTACATACCCACATAAAACAACATGCAATTTTTATCGTCCATTCACTAGGATATATCCAGCAGAGCGGTCGTTATATTGTATACCAGCAGACTTTGTGGAACAACCAGAGAATCGTCCTGATCACTATCTTTACACTGAGTCAAAAGAAGTTCCATATCCTCATAAGGCAGTTTCTTCCCAAGAATTTTCTGCGAAAAATATATTTCCCAAGAATGTTATAGAAAAATTGAATGTATATATATATATATATATATATTTGTGGAGAGAACAGACAGAGAAGAATGTTTTTTTGTTCAGGCACTTTCTCAGTCATTATCAAAAAGTAAATTTTAGCAGAATATTTGCATTTAATATATAGCATTCCAAAAGTATGTAGCCAACAAAATCTTGTCCATCATAGTAATGTTATGCCTTTCTATACAAGTACTTGCATTTTTAACTTGACTAAATTCGTCATGTTCAACTGATTTAAAGCTCATCATTTTATAATGAAAAGAACAAGGAATAAATAAATGAACATATCCTGGATAATCTAGGACACAGAAAGTTCTCGCAGGTCAGAATACAAAATTCTTGTTTTTTTTTTCGTCTATGATGGATCACACAGACTTTCAATAGGTGGTAAAAACGTCTGATTAATTAGAAATTGAATACGAAATTTTAATTTAGTTTGTTATGCTTGATTGATGTTTTTCATACCTGGTTTGTTATGCCTAATCTGAATGTATGTATTTTGGAAAAACACAGCATTTTTCTATACGAATTTATTTAGTTTCATGCTTGATTGTATTTTGACATTTAAACACATTTTAAACGAGTTTACGTTAAAAGTGAAAATAAAAGAAAATGTGATGGATTTTCATCATTTGATATTCTTTTAATTCCAAAAAGGAAAATCGCAGTATAAACAGCACAAACCATATGTGCCATTTGTGGAGACAGTGCCATAGCTGATAGTAAATCGTTCACTTGTTTCAGAATTTTAAATTTTGATCTGAAATACCAACAATGTTCCGGTAAGCCTGCAGACGTTGATGATAACCAAATCGAAACGCTTATTAAAACATAACCCAGGTTATATGACACACGGGGCATCACAAAGTTACTCTATGCGTATTATATGAACATTGTAAGGCACCTGAAAACAGTTGTGTACGTAAATCGATACAATATTCGGACAAGTCAGGATTTAACGGAACAAAAAATAATTGACTGCTTTCCACCTACGATTCTCTACTCAAATGCAGCGTAACGGCACAATTTTTAAAAGAACAATATCAGGCGATGCGAAATTGATTGTTAACAATGAGGAACGGATAAAGTCCTGCGAAAAATGACCATCCCAAAAGCCAGTCTACATACGAAGAATATGCTAAGTAGCTGGTGGGAATGGAAGAATATTATTATGAGCTCCTTCTACAAATTAAGGCGTCGAATTCAGATAAGAACTGTTCACAGACCGATTAAAAGCAGCAATGGATGAAAGGCGTCCGGAATTGGCCAATCCGAAGAAGGTCGTCTTCAATCGCCACAACGCAAAACCTCACGTCTCATTGCACCCTCAGTATTAATTGGTACAGCTTGGCTGATATGTTTCTAATACACTAGCCTTACTCACCTGACTTTGCATGTTTACATTACTAGTTACTTAGATCCCTACAAAATTATCTTAATAGGAAGAACTCCACTTCCCTGGATAACTACTTGTAATAACTACTTAAACCCGTTCATCCTCTAGAAATATGACAAGTTCTGGGAGTATGGTATCGTGAAGCTGCCTTAAAGATGGCTAAAGCGAATGGAACAAAAATGGTACATATATGATTAAATAAATCTATGTATAAATATTTAAATATTTTCTTTATTTATATTTATTTCACAATTCCATCTCTTTCCTTGTTAATGCACTTAATTCAAACATTACTCTGAAAATTTCAGATCAAAATTCAATACCTGTGTTAAGCTATTAACAATATATATATATATATATATATATATATGCCTTTGTTTCTCCCCCCCTCCCTCCTCTCTCTCTCTGTGCGTGTGTGTTTGTATATATATATATATATATATATATATATATATATGCTTTTGTTTCTCTCTCTCTCTCTCTCTCTCTCGTTTTCCTTTGTGCTTTACTGAAAGCTCAGGAGTACGAATTGAAATCTTACAGCGATCTTTAAACATTTGAATAAAAAATTTCAGTATTCTTTTAGACTGTGTTGTTCAAATATTCTAAATGGGGAAGGCCTCCTTGAAAATCAGCATTTAATCATTGGCTTCATAACCGGCTTTGAATATCGGTCATTAAAGCCTGTAGGAATTACGCAACTACTTCAGGTAAGCTATATTTTATTATTTATAATGGCCAGCAGGTGATGAGCTAGCTCACTCTTCCATTTCCTCATTTTTTTATGTTTGATTAATTTCTGAATTTATAGCAAAGAAAAAATACATAGCAAAAATATGATTAAATGAATAACTTTTTCTGGATTCTTCCCTCAATTCAAGAACGTTTTGAAAAAAATGAAAATATCGTCAAATTTCACAGCCCCATCTTACCTCAAAATTGACCAATTTTTTTAACATTGAAAATAACACAAATAATATTTTCCATAAATCGCTTTAATTTTTAAATATTATGATGAAATAAATTTTGGGAAAATTGTGAAATTTGACTATGCATCTATGATACTTCTATTTAAATATAACAGAAGAAAAGAACATTAGCTCAATTTATCCTTTGCCTTAACTTCTTTTTTCTATTTCCATCGACTTTATTATGTCAAATTTAATAGTTACTTAAACTTAGCTTAACACAAGGCCACAGCTATGGGTAATACAGTGAAAATCGAACTCACTATGTAGTAGTAATGACCAACCAGACTAATTATCAACGCTGTCTAGCCGAAATCCAATTGAATATTTGTTAAATTGTTTTTGTTTGCAGGAATAGTGTTTCTGTGGCGAAAGACAAAATGTATCTTTATTAAGAAGTTTTGGGCTCGACTCGTCTCCTCAAATCTGACCAAATGCCCAAATATCGTCATTTTTTTTTTTTTTTAGAAGGGCTTCTTTGTCGGACAAGGAAGTTTTTAGAACCCCGTCCGATATATAAATCCGTGTGTAAAACGCCAACTGTGGTATCAAGCTAAGCTCATAGATCAATTCACCAGTATATCGAATTCTATATTCACAAAGAAAGCTATTACTACTATGTAATTAGACGGATATTCACTAGGTGCTCGATATTTGTGGCCTTGTATCGAATTAATCTAAATAGTAAATATCTATGTCCACATGTGTAAAATGCTGAGAATTTGATCATGAGTGAAGGGATGGGTGGGTATAGCAGGAGCTCCCATTCAAAGAATTGTACTCGACAGTATAAGAAAAAAAAACCCTTTTAGCATAAAGCTTTTTCCCTGCTGGCCAAATCTAAAGGGCCGGGACTCTACTTAAATGGATTGACCGATCCATGGCTTCACACTCACCGTCATGACAAGGTTGACCCACAGTCCAGATGGCGCACAATAGACGAACAGGTCATCACCCACCTAGGTGAATACCATTAGGAAGTAACGACATCATTTATATCTTTCATTCCACACCGAACCATTTGGTCATCTTTGATTCTCGAATATCAGCCTAGGGATCCTCATGGCCATCGTATTTGTTATCTTCATCTTACCCGGATAAGGACTGACCTCGGTGTAAGTTCAGCCTTTAAGGTACAGGGAATATATCCATATATATTCATTAAAGTTCATTTGATACTTTCTGTTGTGCGTTCATAGTCCAACTGTTAACAAATCTATTGGTCACAAGTCTGCCCGTCCTACTTGGGCTTTTCTTTTGTTTTGGGGAATATGAGAGACAAGCGGTTGATGTTCGAGCCCAGGTAAAAGTCAAGATTTTTATATGCTATTGTTTTTATACAGGTATGACATAACCACAAGGAAGAATGGGGCAACACAATCTTACTATCTCCATCTCGTTCTCAAAACTTGTATATATTAATAGTCAGGAATCACTTGCGTATCTCTCAAGTGTTCATTGTTAACGTAAATACTAAGATTTTTAATACTGACTTTCAAGGTAGGCAATCCCGTTCTATTAAATATACGCAACAGAATCTTATTATTCCTCATGCTTTGCTCATTTGGCCTTGTGCCATACTAAACTAATTTATACCTAATGACATTGAAACATTGTCGTATTTTCCAATATTGACTATTGACGGAGGTCGGTATTCCAGACAGAATTTCAAATGCTGTTTCTCAAAGCATACAAGCTCCCACCCATCGCACACACTAGAAAGATTGGTACATCTTGTCCCTTAGCCTCCCAAACCTCATGCCGCTTTGAGACGTACAAATATAAACTTAATAAATATCAATAATAATGAATCAAAAGAAAGTGAAATCATTAGTGATTGACAAATGAAACGTTTGTTTTATCTGAAATATTAAAAACGGTCAAAAATGACGCTTTTCCGAACAGATTTTGGAATACGTAAAATGTGCTACCAATTTGTTTTTTTGTAAAAAATGTGTGAAACTGTTCAATATGCAAATATATTTGTTCGTGCCGTCAATTTTATATTCATTTATCATAATCGACAACGTCCATCTGCTTCTTGCTCAAAGATTACTATTATTAATCTTCTTTCTTTTTTTTCAGATGATTTAAGTTCATATTATGCATATGAAAAGTTTACAGTCTTTTTAAAAATGTTTTTCTACTGGATATTCAATCTCTAGCTTTTAAAAACGAGGCGGCTAAGAACTTTAGCCAGTAACTCACTGACGATGCTAGTGTTTTTGCCGCCCGTGGCAGCCCTCAAGTTTGCCACTCCTCCCCAGAAGGAATACAGAATTTAGGTAAAAATGGCAGCGGTAAAAATGGCAACGGAAAAAATGGCAGGGTAAAAATGGCAACGGTAAAAATGGCAACGGTAAAAATGGCAAAAGTGGATAAATAAAAAAAATGTAGATGAATATCTCACAATGAGTTTATTAAAATCTTGGATACAATACATGATGGAAAAATATGAGAAGTTTGTCAAATTAAAAAGAATATTCAGCTAAAGCTCCCCCCTCCCATGAGATTTTACTTTTTAGGTGATTACGTCTGAACACACTGAAAAACTTTG